AGCATATGCTTTAAAAATTATGTTATATATGTATGTAGTAGTATATATGTAAATCATCATTTAAGATATTACTAATATTAACATTTTAATATATGATTGTTTAAAAACCATATGATTTAAATGCATACCTTACTATCATATATATGTATATATGTGATAAAATGATGGACTCTTTTAATAGCTCCTTAACTGGCCTCCTTGCTTCCACCTCAGCCACTCTTAAGTTTGTTTTCCATAGCGGCTACAGTGATCCTTTTAAAAGGAGTCATTATATCATGACCTGCTCAAAATTGTCCAATGGTTCGTTATTCTATTCTGGATAAAATAAAATGTCCCTATCATTTCTATAAAGCTCCACATAACCTGATTCCCTAATTCATTCTCTGTTTTCATTTCCCTGCTCTTTCCCCCTTGCTTCCTTCCTTCTATCACCAATAACCTTGCAGATTCTCAGGTACCTGAGGCATGTTCAGACTTCAAGGCCCTCCTGCCTGCTCTTCTCCAGCCATCTCCGCAGCCAGCTTCCCCACTTGCTTCAGCACTTTGCCTGGTTGTTATCAGGGGTCCTCCCTGACCGCCCTATGTAATGATCACCTCTCTCCCCACCGCCTGCACACATTTCTATAAAGCTCCACATAACCTGATTCCCTAATTCATTCTCTGTTTTCATTTCCCTGCTCTTTCCCCCTTGCTTCCTTCCTTCTATCACCAATAACCTTGCAGATTCTCAGGTACCTGAGGCATGTTCAGACTTCAAGGCCCTCCTGCCTGCTCTTCTCCAGCCATCTCCGCAGCCAGCTTCCCCACTTGCTTCAGCACTTTGCCTGGTTGTTATCAGGGGTCCTCCCTGACCGCCCTATGTAATGATCACCTCTCTCCCCACCGCCTGCACTCTTTATCCTCGTCCCTTACTTGTTTCCTTCATAGCACCATCACCATCTGACATACACATTTGTTTATTTCTGCCTCTTCTGTCAGAAGATGAGTTTCATGTGAGGAGACACTGTGTCTTTATACTGCTTTCTTCTGTGTCCCCTGCCCCCAGAGCAATGCCTGGCCCATAATAGGGTATTTAATGAATATTTGTAAAATAAATGAAAGAAAAAAATGAATTCAGTTTTTTGAGACAATGTGTATGTTTGAATATTCATAACACAATAGTTTTTAAGATAGCTGCTTTGTGGGGTGGGGGGAGCATGAGGCAGAGAGGTAAATTAGGAACAGTCAGTGGTACCAGCATTGTCAGTCAAACTTAAGGGTTTTAGATATTATTCTGAAAGCCAAGTGCTTATTGGGTCAAGGCAAGAATTGGGTTCAAGTATGATGGGAACTCAGGGAAAACTGAAGAGCTCATGACCTATCCAAAGAGTAGCCAAAGGAATTAATATGAAACTCTGGACTCAGGGCTTATCCATCTTTTCATTTTTAAGAGAAACTGAAAGGGGGGAATCTTATGTGAAATTTCCCAATTTTAAAAACACTATGTAAGCCAAATTAATCATATCTAAGGATGCTATTTAGCAACTTCAACACTACATGTTGGAGACCAGAATAACTTTTTTGGGGGGGAAAATGAAGATCACACTTGTCCTTAGGGAAGTGACTTAGGTCATCACTGTGGCAGGACTCACCTGCTGGGAACCAAGAGGCAGAGATTAGCTAAAAGGCTACTGCAGAAGATGAAGTGAGCATGATGGAGGTGTGCATGAAGGTGGTGCCACAGAGGGTAGAAGTGGTAGGACTTTATGAACAGTGGTGCGGTGAAGGGAGGCATTCAAGATGAGTCCCAGTTTCTAGCTTAGGAGGACAGTGGCATGGGCTCACAGGCTGATTTACATCTGGGAATGATGATGGTGCTGGGAAAAAGAATGTGATTTGATTTATTTGCAGATATCAAGATAGACATGTCTTTAGGCTGTCAAAAATATGGGTCGGGTTTAGAAGGCAGGGCTGCAGCAGGGTTTCTGAACCTTGGCATTACTGACATTTTTGGCTGGGCACTTCTGTGCTGTGGGGCTGTCTGGCACACTGTAGAATGTTTATCAGCATCTTTGGTCTCTACCCTCTAGGTGCCAATAGCACACTTCCCAGCTGTGACAATGGGAAGTGTCTCTAAACAGTAGCAAATGTCTCTGAGGAGCAAAAGTCACCCCTGCTTGGGGACCACTGGGCAAAAGATAGAGAGCTTGCACTTAGTATGTTTATCTATTTTCTATCATTGTTTTTCAAATTTTTATGTGAACTGAGATACTGCATTTCTAACAGAATCTCAGATAATGCAGAGGCTGCTGATCCAAAAACCATAGTTTGAGTGCAAGATTAGAGATGCCACTTGAAATCGTGAGAATGGATATGCCCAGGAAGGCTGTGCATGGCAGGGATTTTAATGTTACAAAAGCGGACTCTAAGGGGGTTATGACTTAGGCCTGTCAAATAACGATTTTCTTACTCTTATTTTTTAAAACATTTTTCTTTTACATCTCGAATATTTTTACTAGAGTAGCATTGCGTTCTTTTACTCTGGATCAGAGTCCCAGCAGAAGATAGAATTTCACTGAGATGACACAACTGAAGTGCATTTAATAAAGGAACTGTTGACACAGATGTAGGCAAGGTTAAGGAACTCAATAAGCAATGGTGAGGTACCAAGAGACTGGCATGGGGATGTTCAAAGAGTGCTAGTGCCATGGCGGCCTGCTGAGGAGAAACTGTGGTCCTGGAGGCACACAGCCCCTGGCATAGCCACAGCACAAAGCTGGAGGGAGCAGGGAAGAAATACCCCTACCTTCCTCTCCTCCAGCCCTCTGCCCATCCTCCTGGTGGTGCTTCCTGTTGGTTGAGTTCAGTGGCAGTCTGTTGGCATGGCAGCCTGGGTGATAGATTCTATAGAGGTCACCTTCCTGGGGCAAGAGAAGTGGAAAGAGGCTGGACTGGAAGGAGAAGGGGACAAGCAAAAACTAACTAACACATGCTCTAAACAGGTATAAAAATCTACATATGCAAGCAATGCATATTTGACATTATCCCCACAACATGATATTGAGAGTAGTTTCCTATATATTGGGATTAAATAAATGATGAGCATAGAAATTTGGCATTGTTTATGTTGGCTCTGACTTCAGTTGAAAAAAGTCAGTGGAAGTAAGACAGGGCTCAGCTATCTTTGGTTCTACTTTCATTGCTGAACATGCAATGCCACATCCTGTCTGTGGGAGCATGAAGCCAAAGAAGCTAAAGAAGCGGCTTGCCTCTGTGGCCCTGAAAGCGTGCCAGGCAAGGTAGAATTCTTTGATGCAAGGAAGGCTCGGCTTAAAAATGTTGGGATGACTCCCAAACTAACATTTGTCCTGAAAAGATGTTTGGAACTCCATGTAGTGTAGTTAAGAGGGCAGACTCTGAAGTCAAGCAGCAGTGTGTGTTTAAATAAATCCAACCTTCCCACTGGCTAGGTGTGTGAGTGTAGGCTAGCTATTCAACATCACTTGGTATCAATTTTCTCATCTGTAAAAATGAGGATATAAAAAATAGGAATAGTAGTAGTACTTACTCCATTGGTTATCGTGAGAATCAACTGAGATAACAAAAGTAGAGCATTTAGAGTTATGAGTATCATATGGAAGGTCCTCAATAATTATTAGTTTTGTTACAATAAAGTTGATTGCCTTGTATCCAAACCAAAAGAGTAAAAATTAGTGAAAACTCTAAGTGCTCTGGAAATTCTCAAAGAAGCAAAGGAACAAAATCGAAGTAGTCCTTTTGTCAAAGGACATCACCTGCTAGAGAATCACTATTACTCTCTACTTCCCATCAGAGTACCTCTGGGAGAAACTGCTGATGCCTCTCAAAGCACACAATGTCTCTGCTTTCCTATTTTGTAAGGTTTTGGTGATAAAAAAAAAATTTTATCTTTTACAAATAAATGCAATGTTCTAGGAGCATGTCAGATTTTGTTGTTTTAGTGAAGAATTTTCCGAATAACCACCTGACAGGAGAGCCATGAACTTGATTAGAGCTGCCAATTGAATCACTATCTTTTCCAGAAGGGTAGTTCCTAAGCAGAAAAACAATAGAAGGATTTTTCTCTACTTATGAATATCCAAATACCTGAAGTTCACAGATATTCCATCAAATAGACATTTCATTTTTCTCTGAAAAGAGAAAGGGAAGACACTCTCAGAATACTTGACCAGGCAGAGGTCCAACAGAGCCTGGCTTACTTTGTGGGAAATTTGACATACATGTTTGAGGTAAGTATTTTGATTCAAGAATCTGAAGGAACTCTTTCAACCAGGCTGAGAAAGCTATTTTGACTTACTAGCCTCTTTAGAAGAGGGGATTACAGGTCGGTTTTAATGTGAAATTTTTAGTGCTGTGAAAGTGCATCTACAGGCTGGAGACAAGAGTAATAAAGCTCTAGCCATTTCCCTGTAGTTAAAATTAGAAAGACTGTAAAACTTGTACAAGATGACACTGTACACTTGGGCACCCAGTAAATGATGGGACAGTTCAGTTCAAGGAGTCTTAGACAATTCCTGTGTTTCTTGATGGAATCCTCCTGTATTGGGGACTGCCATTTGTTGGCCATATCCCCCCATTCAGCAGCTGAGATTGCAGCTGTCTATGCTGCTGGAAGGTGCTCCTCAACTGTCAGCATTCTGCAGAAATGGACTGAATTGCCTTGAAAAGCACAGTCTCACCCAAAGGCATATCCTTCCTGAGTCAGCCTGTATCCTAGGGCTAATTAGGATATGCAAGCATAGTGGTCTAAAGTTTCTTGCCCGCGTTTAGGATAACTCTGAAAGGCCTTCCCCATGGGGCAGCTGACGCCTTCCTGGAAGCTGCCTTGCAGTCAGCGCCTTGCTCTCCTATCCAACTTCCCTCCCTGCCTTTCCACAGTGCTGATCCATCCACGCGTACTCCCTAAAAACCATATCATGTGTTAATCATCTTTCCTTCTACTTTCTAGGAAATCCACCTTTTGACACCCTCAACAGAGTGAACAAAACAAAATGATTCTTTTCTTGCTGCATACTTTTAGGAGCAAGATTTTTAGCACTAGTTATTAACCAAATGGAAATTCAAAATCGATTGAGTATCCAGAGATAACACAAACATACCAGATCATGAACTACAAAACTACAGCATTCCTATCAAGCTGAACAGAAGCAATGAGATTTACTTTTGAACACAATTAGGTAACTTTTTATTTTGCATGTACAATGTGCATTTTTCCTTCTTTAGAATAAAAGATGGCTATTTTTAAATTGTGTGATGAAAATTGTTTTATATTTGCATATATGAAGTAAATTTCCAATGCAAGAAAGTAAATGGCATGCCAAATTTTGTGCATAGGTGTTTATGGGCATTTTATCCTGCAGAAATGATCCACACCTTTCATTGGATTTCCATAAGAGTTCATGACCCAAAAAAGTTTAAGAACAATTGGTACAAAGTAAAATGAGAAGCAGAACTAGAATAGATAACATACTTAGTAAATGGAAAGCACACAAACCATCCCTGAATATCCAGGGGCAATTAGAGTTGCTAATGCAACTCAGAGTACAATCCTAGGGTGGACCCTGGGGCTGCCAGCTGGTGCTGGAGACTCGTGAGAAGGGAGGTCCAGAACACACTTTCTTTTTTTTTTTTTTGGTATCATTAATATACAATTACATGAGCAACATTGTGGTTACTAGATTTACCCCATTATTAAGTCCCCACCACATACCCCATTACAGTCACTGTCCATCAGCATGTAAGATGCTATAGAATCACTACTTGTCTTCTCTGTGCTATAATGCCTTCCCCATGCCCACCCCCTACATTCCTACATTATGTGAGCTAATCATAATGCCCCTTATTCCCCTTCTCCCTCCAACCCACCCACCCCCAACCAGTCCCTTTCCCTTTGGCAACTGTTAGCCCATTCTTGGGTTCTGTGAGTCTGCTGCTGTTTTGTTCCTTCAGTTTTTGCTTTGTTCTTATGCTCCACAGATGATTGAAATCATTTGGTACTTGTCTTTCTCCACGTGGCTTATTTCACTGAGCATAATACCCTCTAGCTCCATCCATGTTTTTGCAAATGGTAGGATTTGTTTTCTTCTTATGGCTGAATAATATTCCACTGTGTATATGTACCACATCTCCTTTATCCATTCATCTACTGATGGACACTTAGGTTGCTTCCATATCTTGGCTATTGTAAATAGTGCTGTGAAAAACACAGGGATGCCTATGTCTTTTTGAAGCTGGGAAACTGCATTCTTGGGGTAAATTCCTAGGGGTGGAAGTCTGGGGTAAAGTGGTATTTCTATTTTTAGTTTTTTGAGGAACCTCCACACTGCTTTCCACAATGGCTGAACTAGTGTACATTTCCACCAGCAATGTAGGAGGGTTCCCCTTTCTCTGCATCCTCGCCAGCATTTGTTGTTCCTGTTCTTTTCTATCTTGGCCATACTAACTGGCCTGAGGTGATAGCTCATTGTGGTTTTAATTTGCATCTCCCTGGTAATTAGCAATGTGGAGTATGTTTTCATGTGCCTGTTGGTCATCTGAATTTCTTCTTTGGAAAATTGTTCATGTCCTCCACCCATTTTTTAATAGGGTTATTTGCTTTTTGGGTGTTGAAGCATGTGAATTCTTTATATATTTTGGATGTTAACACCTTGTCAGATATGTCCTTTACAGATGCATTTTCCCATACTGTAGGGTGCTTTTTTGTTCTGCTGGTAGTGTCCTTTGCTGTATAGAAGCTTTTTCAGAAGACACTTTTATTGACACTTCAAAGATAGTCTTTTTGGGTTTTTGGTCATCTTTGATTCTATTCTACTTATGAGCCTCAAAACTACTATCTTTGCACAGTGTTTCCATTTTGGTCCCACTCTTATCCCACTGAATTAAACTGTCTTTTACCTGTGATGTTGCCTTTGGACAGTGATTCTGTTTTCTCTACTACTTCACACATGTCCCTCTTATCCACTCTATTTTAGTCCTGGAATCCCCTACCCTAGCCCTGGTCCCCAAGAAGCATTGCTACCAGGCTTTATGATCAGGATGGTGGAGGTAGAGCAGAATCAAGAGGGAGGTAACCTTGAAGTCAATCGTGAGACTGCCAAGATGTAGAGATAGGTTAACAGTGTCGGGTATAGCAGAGATGATAATGATTTGAAAAGATGATCATGAAGTTGCCCATGTTGGTCATTGGTGATAATTTCCAAAGTGGTTTAAGTAGGATGTTGCAAATGGATGCCATGGTTCTTTTTTAAACTTTTTATTATCAAATTTTTCAACTATAACAAGATAAACCCTCATGTATCCACTACTCAGATTTGATAATGATTAACTCCTGTCCTTCTTTCATGTAAGCCTCCATCCACCCTCCCCCTGTATTGTTTTGGAATATGTTTCAGCCATCATATTACTTTACCATAAATATTTCAGCATGTATTGCTAAAAAATATAGACAATTATCTTACCATCTCTGCACCTAAAATAATTTTTTTTATGTCATCAAATATCCAGTTAATACCAACTTCATATATTTGCCATTTTCCACAATTTTGGATAAATGCCATAAATTGCTTTTTAAAAGTTTGAATCAAAAAAGGTCCATGAATTGAGATTGTTTCATGTTTTTTACATCTATGTTTACTTTCATCTCTCTTTTCATTTATGGCTTAGTTATTAATGAAACTGAGCCATTTGTTCTGTAGAGTTGGCTGCAGTCTCTACTTCGCTGATTGCTTTCCTTTGCTATATTTGAATATGTTCTTCTGTCAATTGTATTTCCTGTAAATTCTTTGTAGTTGGATCTAAAAGTCTGAGCAGGGGAAGCCATGTTTTAAGAGTTGAGGAGTGAATGCAAGTTGAGAAAGGGGAGGTACCAAAAATTGAGTCGTTTTTTGGAAACTTGGGCTGTCATAGGAGGCTGCTGCTGCTCTTCTTTCCTCTGTGTGTGGGAAGTTTGCACACACTTACAGAATCACAAGGGAGAGATTCAGATGATAGAAGTTTAGATATAGGAAAGATGGACGTTTATGAAGCAAAGACTTGTAAGAAATGGAAAGAGTTAGAATTCAGTGAGTGGCTTAACTTGTATTCATTTATTCATCCATTGCAATTGTTTTGCCTGCTGTATACCAGACCTAGTGCTCAGTGATGGAGAAATACAGATATATTAAAAAACAAAGCAAACAAAATTTATCCTACTTTCAAGAGCCTTATATGCTTACATACTACTAGGGGAGACCACCATGTGAACAGTAAGGGAATGAAGTGTTAACAATTTTGTAGGTGGCTGTCCTGGGAACAGTAGTGTCTCAAAAGAGTGAGGGAGAGGTCCAGTCTTTAATTCTGACTGACCCACATTCTGTGGGTTACAGAGATAGTACCCAGAAAATGTTCAGAAAGGAAATGAGAGTGCAGATGGCTTAAGGAACCACTGTTTTAAATGGAATCTCTTATTTTAAAAAAAGAAAGAGCTGGTTTGGAATGGTTAATGATTCAGAAAGGGAAAGTAGTAATGATAGACTATCAGGTCCTAGAAGGAGCCTATTTATGGCCATTTGCCTTCCTAGAATGTCTTCCTAGAATGCTGTGTTAGCCCCATATACTACTCTTATTTGTAAGAATTGGCCTGGATCCTAATTTTGTTCAGACATCTCAGAGTTGACTTTAACTAAAGAGATAGAGTCCGGGGGGACGTCTGTGACTTGTTCTTTCATTTTCTAAACTTCTGAACCTTAACATCATTTGATTCTCTCTTCCTTTACTTCACAATGCATCAGTTGATGTATTCTGTCAGTTTCACCTCTAAAAGTATTGTTAATACACAATCTCATACTGGTTTCAGATATATAAACAGTGGTTCAACAGTTACCCATATTATTAAATCCCCGCCCTGCCTAGTGCAGTTACTATCTGTCTACATTTTGAATGAAAATTTTTATTTCAGCTAGGAATATGCCCACCCCTCATTTTCAGGTTGGTATGACTAATAAATCCCGGACTTTATCATCTTCAATCTGAGGGAGAGCAAAGATACCAAAGGCAGAGGAAAAACTTGCCTCTCACTGGGGTGTGGGGAAGTAGATCATAAATTGTGGTTCCCTGAGGGAACCAAAGAGATAGTTACCTGCCCATCTGCTGCATTCGGTTCTCAGATGGCTCAATCCTACCCACTCTGCAGAACTTGGAGAGACCCTACACTTGTAGGCAGCATAACCCACAGCTCCTGAAGTTGGGAAAAAAGCTACTACTTGTACCAAGCCAACCTGGGAAAAGATATCTCCCAGCATTTAACAGTGGGGCGATGATTGGACAGCCCTCAAGAACATAAATATCATTGACATCCATTGCTCACCCATTTGTCTCTACTTGAAAGACCTTAATAGCCTGACTTGTATGGCTGCTGAGGGAAAATAAAAACCGTATACAGACAAAGAAAAACATAATTCACCTATGTGGGTCTCAGTCGACTGAGGGAAGACTGGTAAATTGAAATCTGTAACGGTATGATTCCAATGAAGTAGAACTTTAATTAAAAAGCAAAGGGGATATCAGAGTTGCATTTGGAGCATAGAAAGGACTTTCTGGGACTAAAAGAAATTATTGTCAAAATTTTAATAGGCAAACCAAAGAAGAGAATGGCCAGTTCTAGAAACAATCAATTTGAAAGATCAAGTGGGAAAAGAAACTCATGACATAGAACAAAAATAGATGGAAATTATAAGGTCAATTTTTAGAAAATTTGACATAACTCAGAGATCTAATAAAGCAAAGGTGCTCCTGTGACATAGAATTCAAATATACATGGAAAAAATTCTAGAAATATGTTTATTGAAACCCAATTACAATGGAGGACTTTAATAAACTTCCTTCAGAATTTGACAAGTCTAGCAAATAAAAATAATAAGTAGATCATGTGAATAATATAGTCTACAAGTGTAAATTAGTAGATCATATACATTTACATAAGCCTTTTTATTTTTTTTTATTTTCATGTAATATGTACAAAATATTATCATATATTTGGCCACAAAATGAAATTTAACAGTAAAATAATTAGGGTTTTACCTGTTAAAATAGCTGATCATTATCTAATAAAACTAGATATAAATCAAAAGAAGAAAAAGAACTCTTAAGTATTAGAAATTAAGAAACCCATTTTTAAATAACCCAGTAACTCAAAGAGGAAATAATGTTTAAAGTAAAAATTATTCATAAAGTAGCAAACAACAAATAGGTATTGAATATTTGATGCCAAGCACAGTTTATAAGCCCTATTAATTAGAAGATCTCAACCTTTAGTATAATCTTAGGAGTTATGAGTACTATTTCTATTTGACAGATGAAAAAACTGATGCATGAAGAGGTTAAGTAAGCTCTCCAGTGGAATGCAAGAAGAACAAGAGCTGTGATTCAAGAAACCTACACTTTTAATCCACATACTCTAAGAATTCTTCATAGCAAACCTGCAAATGTGTATACTGACATGTTTAAGGGGGACTTTTATAGCTTTAAATGATTTTATTCTGAAAAACATATGAAAAGAAATCAGTTGTAGTAATGGAAAACAAAGTATACAAAAAATTGGAATGATGGTAATAAAGATTGAGGTTAAAGAAATAAAAAGAATGAAATTGAAGTCTGCTCTTTGAAAAGACTAATAAAAAAACTTGCTATTTCTGATTTTTTTGAAAAGGAATTAAAACAAAAATACACCACATTAATGATGAGGAAATATAACCATATAAATGGAAGCAATAGACTTAAGAAAACATATTTTGATAAATTTACAGTAATACATTTGAAAATTTAGGAGAAGTAAATGACTTTCTAGCAAAATATGAACTAAAAATATTGACTCAAGAAGAAACTAAAACCCAAAAAAGACCAAAAACCATAAAGCAGGTCAGAAAGATAAGTAGAGGTCTGTATTTTAAAAGGCATCAATAATTCCAAGGACAACCGAGATGGAGTAAGCCCACTACAGCCTATCTCTCCCACAGATTACAAGAAAAACTCTGTACAAAATACATAGAGCAGGTCTCTGAAAAGTAAATAAAAGCAGGACAATTGGAAAGGAAAGTGAAAGCTTAAGCAAGTTATAGTGGTGAGTCCCATTTTTTTTTTCTCTTTCCTCTCATCGTTTTAACTAGAGGTTGTTCCTGCAGTCATGATTCTGTAGCTGCAAAGATACAGGAAGCAAGAATGGAGCAAAAACCTTTATTCTGGCCATGAAATCAGGAAAAGGAATGATTGCCAGGCAACTGGTCTGGAGGTAAAAATCTTCAGGATTTTTTCTTTCTTTCTCTTTTCTCAGCTGTCTCTCTTAATGGCAGCTCCAGTTGTGGAGGTGTGGGAGTAGAAGTCGCATGCACTAAAATGCAGAGAACCTCTGTCTTTTTGTCCAGAAGAACTAGGGCAACAGACCCCTGTAATCTGAAAAGTAGGGGAATCCCCATTGCTTTTTTCTCTCTCTGATCTTTCTGCTTTGACTGATGGGCAGGCCACAGCCAACGAGCTGCAATGAGAGAAACTATCTTTTCAGCCAGAGGACAGATAAAAAAGACCCCTGAGAAATGCAGTGTGGCAGGACCCCAGAAAGGAGAAAGTTGGAAAAGGGGACTACCTAATTCTGTGTATGAAGTGCTAAATATTCTGCGCTCACACCTGAACTCTACATTGCAGAGGCTCTGAGAATTGCACTGTTATATAAACCACTGTCCAATTCACGAACTAGTCCAAGTGGCTCACACATGAGTAAATACCAAAGCAGCATAGATAGGAAAGGCTTCGAAACCTAAACTGACATTGAGACCACCACACACAGAAGGTAAGAAAGAACTTGCTGTCTAAAACTAATCAGATCCACTGTCTCCTAAAACAAAAAAGTCAACATTCTCCCAGGACCCAGAGTTTTTACATAATAATCAAAATATCAAAGATACAATCCACAATCACCCTACATATGAAGAATTTCCTTGACATTTCATAAAGAAAAAGACAACCAATAAACACCAACTCTAAATTGAGGTATTAGAACAGTTGAAGATTTTATAAAAACAATTCCAACTATACTACATAGGTAAAGGCTATTGAAATGAGTGAAAAAGTAGAAGTTCTCAACATTATAGAAACTATAAAGAAAAGAAGAGAGATGTTTCAAAACTGCAAAATACAATACCTGAAATAAAAAATTTATCATATTGGCTCAATAGTAGAATAGAGATGATAGAGGAAAGAATAAATGAGTTTGAAGTACGTCAGTATAATCCAATATGAAAAATAGGAAGAAAAGATTTTGGAAAAAAAATTAACAGAACCTCAGGGATCTTTGGGGCAGTTTCAAAAGGCTTAGCATTTATGCCACAAAGAAGAAGTAAGAGAAATTGATGAAGAAAAAAAATGGAGAGAAAAGGCACCAGACTAGATGCTCTGTCTTTAAAAAAAAAAAAAATCATTCCTATAATTTTTAAGTTATTTGACAACATACAAAAAGATGGTCATTTCTCCTACTCATTTTATGAAAGAGCTTAACATTAATATCAAAACCTAAATTTTGAAAAGGACAAATTGAACAATTTCACTTGTAAATGCAAGATTTCTAAATCTTGAAAGAAATTTGATTAGCAAAGCATAATACACCATTACCAAGTCAGACTTATTCCAGGAATTTCAGAATGGTTTAACATAAGGAAATCTATCAACAACTAAGTCATTACAGAAAAAATTTAAAGGATAAAAACCACAATTAATATATCACTAAAAGCAAAAAAAATAAAAATAAAAACATCTGGTGAATTCAACAGCATTCAAAGTATACATTAAATAATGCTACAAAAAAATATGCTCAACTAGAGAAAAGATGTATATGAAATAGAATTAACAAAGCAAAAGGATAGATTATGATATGCAGATAATTGAATATTGACCTAGAGATCTTCAAGGTTTCAAATGGAACTATTAGCATTACAGTATAAAGAAGTATGGAGGGAAACACAAAAGCCTTACATGGGCTGGAGACAAGTTGATTAGAACCTTGTACCAAAGTTGGCTTCAAAAATATTTTAGGGTGAATCTGTCAATCATACGTGGACCATCAGATATTTTTGGAATCAGTTTTTTCCAGGTGATAGTATCTGTGTTTCGGGTAGTTTTCATAATTTTGATTTTTCTACCTTCAAAAGCCAAGACCAACAGCTGATTTGAACAACACTATAGAACAAGTGGGCCTAATAGATATATACAGAACTTGCCACCTATAAGCAGAAAATTACACATTCTTCCCAATGACTCACAGAACATTCTCCAGGAAAGATCTCATGTTAGGTCACAAAACAAGTCTCAACAAATTTAATAAGATAAAAATCATTCCAAGTATCTTTTCTGACCACAATGGAATGAAACTAGAAATCACTAAAGTAAGAAAATGGGAAAATTCACAAATACATGTAAACTAAACACACTCTTTAGTAATCATTGGTCAAAGAGGATATCAAAAGGTAACATGAAAATTAACTTGAGACAGACAAAACAAAAACTTAACATACCAAAAGTTGTAGGATGCAGCAAAAGCAGTACTAAGTGGGAATTTTATGGTAATGAATGCCCACATTAAAAAAGAACTATCTCAAATGAAAAACCTAATTTATACATCTATTTATAGATGACATGATATTATATGTAAAAATCCCTAAAAACTTTACCAAAAAATTTGTTAGAATAAAAAATTCAGTAAAGGTAAAGGATATGAAGTCAATAGACAAAAACCAGTTACATTTCTATATACAAACTATCCAAAAAGGTCACTAAGAAAACAGTTGATTCACAATAGCAAAAAAAAAGAAGTGAAAGACATATCCTAAAAATTATAAAGCACTGATGAAGGAAATTAAAAACAAAGATAAATGAAAAGGCATCGCATATTCATGGATTGGAAGAATATTGCTAAAATGTCCATATTACTCAAAGTGAACTACAGATTCAATGCAAATTAAATCCCAAAGGCATTATTTACCCAAATAGAAAAAAACAATCCTAAAATTCATAGTTCATTTAGAAATTCAAAGTTTCAGTTATTGAGGATAAGTAATTTCTGGAGATATAATGTATAGCAATGCAACTATAATTAACACTACTGTACGGTAGTAATAGTAGTTACTAATGGTAAATTTTAGGTGTTTTCACCACAAAACATGAACATGGTAAGTATGTGAGATGATGGGTATCTTAATTAGCTTGATTGTGGCAATTATCTCAGAAAGCATAGGTAGGTATATTAAACATCAAGTCCAACACCTTAAGTATAAAGAATTTTATTTGTCAATTATGCTTTAATAAAGATGGAGGTGGGGAAGCCAAGCCCAATAAAAGAATCTGAAAGTTCTAGATTGGCTCTCTTTGATAAGAGCTGCTTAGGTAATATAGAATCTGCTCTACCAACTCACTTTTTGAAAATCTTGTCAAGTGCTTGTGATTATATGCAGGGTGTTTAATATACCTCATTAAAAGGGAATTCTGATGCATTTCAGGTCTCATTTAACCTGCATAACATGGAACTTTTTTTTATTGGTGTCAAAAGTTAATAGAAGAGAGAGCACATATCCTGACAATTCTGCTGTAAAGCAGAGATTTAACAATGTAAGTAAACATCATTGGCTGTATTTTTAAATATTTGTAATATGTTCAAATACCAAAGAAAAAGGTAAACATGTATCTTTGTTCTTTAATAAACAAGCCTTCTATAGTGAAGGGTAAATCCTGTTAGATTACAAGGAATAAAAACATCATAAGAGTTTTCTGGCATAAATTCTTTTTTCCTCCATAAAAAATGGCAGGGGAGGCAGGAGAAACTTTATTGTTTTTCTCTCTCTCCCTTTTTTGTTTGTTGGTTGGTTGGATGTTGTTTTGTTTTTGTTGCTTGATTGTCTTGGTAAAGTCATGAGATGAAGCAAACTGGCAGGCGTCCTGGTGTGCAGGGGTGAGAGGAGCCCGAAAGAAGAATGCTCTACATCTTTTAGGCTGCAGAGGGACTTTTGTGTACTAACTGACTGGCTTCCTAAATCCCCTGGAACTAGTTGGATGCTGTGAAGTTGCCAGCATGATGTTTGATAACCAGGACCAGTCTCCATAAGACTTAACTTATATAATTCATTTCTAAGTGGTTTTGACTATCATTCTCATGCTTCTTAGAATATTTTTCCTCTGATCTGAGGAGCTACTGTGTCAAACAGACCTGCTCATTTCCTCTTCCCAAACATGCGTGATAGAGTCTCAGCACCATACGGTCTCATCTGAGCTCTGTGTTTTTGTTTAATGTGGCATGAATTAGAAGATTGGATAGTGTTATCAGTCTCTCTGGTTCCCATTCCTAAATAACTGAAATGAAGCTAGCTGGAGGACATGATCAGTAGAGTTACAGTTCCAGAAAGATTCTTTTACTATCTCACTGTCTGTGTGTTATATACATTTGCCTTTATAATAATGAACAGCTTATAAAAATTCTTAACAGATAACTGAATAACTATGGTTACCCTCATTATCTAATCCATACCCCCTCTGCTTTCTTCTTCCTATCATCATAACCAAGCTTCTTTATAAGACTTGTATGCATTTACTAACTCCATTTCCTGACTTGCCAAG